GTGGTGTGTTAATTCTCCCCAGAATTCTCACCAACCTATTCAAGTATTTTAAAAAATTCTTGCTCTTATGATTTTAAGACAAAAACACATCTGTTTTCAGCCCAACTGGAGAAGCCTCGTTACTATCACATCCTTTGTGTTCTAACTGAAACCCTGCACAGAAAACAACAAATGAGCACGGGAAATGTTGGAAAAGTGTATTAAGCAAGACAGACTCCCTGGGGAATGACACAGTGGTACATTCCTTGGGTTTCCTATTCTTCTCATCTGCCCTGGGGAGAATGCTGCAGAAGCCTCCAACCAGAAACCACACACAACAAAACCAAACCTAACAAAAACCCAGTTGTCTCAGCCAAAGAACCTGGAAAATAATGGCATAGCAGGGAATACCCACCTGACTGTAGCCAAACATCTATGGAAAACCCCCCAGACACCAGAGTTCAGTGGAGTCCAGTGTGGGGCTGATGATCCACTTCACTGCCACGGAGTGGAAGGCGGCAGCAGCGCTCTGACTCCCTTGCCTGATGGTGTCCGGGGGGCCAAGCAGGGAGGTAAATCTTCTCTCCCACATTGCAAAAGAAGGTGGCATTCCGGTATTTCTATCAAGGTGGTGTCAACAGACCAAGAAAGAAGCTGTTCTTCCATTTCCTGTCTGGCAAAAGCAGACAGTTCTACAATTCCCTTGCCAAAGTAGTGTCTGGAGGTGCCAGAGGTAAGCTTAGCCTCAAACTCATGCAGCAACAATGAGACTGAGGCAGGGTGAGGCAGGCTAGTGTCGCCTTCCTAACCGGGTGTCACTGAAGTCCATCAGGAAGCTGAGCCTCTGCTGCCACCCAAATCAACCACACTGACAAGGTGGCATCATCTCCAATTCCCTGCCCCCTCACTTCTGGTGTCAGTAGAACCGGGGATGAACCAAACCTCCACACTGACACAGCTGCAATGAGACTGAGTGAGGTGGTACCAGCAGGCAATTAGGAATTCTTTTGAAACAAATGTAAATCTTGAAAATCTCCACCAAAAACAAAATAAACAAAAAATGAAAGTTATAAGAATTAACCAAATGGAAATTAAAGAATTAAAAAGTAAGATAACTGAAATAAAACTTCACTGGGTAAGCTTAATAGTAAAGGGGAGAAGACAGAAGATAGAATCAGTAAACTTGAGGACAAATCAGTAGGATTTACTGATTCTATTCTGAACAAGAGAGCAAAAATAGATACAAAATGAAACAACAGAGAACACCCTTGGAGACCTGTCAGGCAGCATCACAATATTGAATCTATGTATCATCAGAGACCAAGAAAGAGAGTAGAAAGAAATAGCGGGACTGGAAAAATAGTCAGTAAATTGATATCTGAAAACATCTTGATTTTGACAAAGACAGAAACCTATAGAATCAAGTAGCTGAGTAAATACTAAATAAGATAAACCTAAAGGAATGCATATTGAAACGTGTTATATAAAAACTTCTGAAAACAGAAGACAAAGAAAAATTCTTGAAAGCCTACCCGCCAAAAAACAATACAGACTTATAAAAATACAAATTCAAATGACAATAGAGTTCTCATCTGAAACAGTGTAGGATACAAGGAAGTGTCCCAACATTTATGTCCTGAAAGAAAAGAACTGTCAAATGCAAATTCTATGTCCAGTGTTTTCTTAAGAGCAATTGTGAAGGTATTTTCAGTTTCCACACACTCAATGTTAGTTCATAGAAATATGATGAATTTGGAGGATGGATCATTTATCCTGTGAACTTGCTCAATATTATTATTTCTACAAGACTTTTTTAGTTTCTCTGAGACATTATGAAGACAATCGTGTAATCTGCAATAGAGGCCGTTTTCCTTCTTTTTTTTTTCAGTCAGTATGCCTTACTTGTTTGTTGCCCAATTGTGCTGACTAGAACTTTCGGTGCTCTGTCAAATAGCAGTGGTGAGAGCAGATGTCTCTGCCTTGTTTCCACCCTTAGGGGAAAACCATTCAGTCTTTCACCATTAAGTATGACATAGCTGTTTGTTTTTGATAAATATTCTTGATAAAGTTAAGGAAGTTTCCTTCTATTTCTAGGTTTCTGAAAGTTTTTAATCATAAAACTGTGCTATATTTTGGTAGATACTTTTTCTGCATTAATTGAGATAGGTAGCATACGTATTTTTGAATCATGTTTCTTTGTCCCAGTTGATATTCCTTGTGTTTTAATTGTCATGTGTACATAATTTATATTTAAGATAACTGTAATATATATGTTAATGCCTAGATGTTCTACTTTATTTTCTGCTTGTTCATTCTCTTTTTCTTTCCTCTGCTCTCTTTCCTTACCTTCTGTGAGTTACTGAAATAGTTTTAGTATTACATAATTATTTCCTTATATAATTCTTTTAGTACATCTCTAAATATTTTTCTTACAAATTCATTTTAAAAAACTATTACCAAAGAGGATATAAATGTTCATGAAAGAATTGAGAGAAGAACTAAATAAATTCACACATACCTAATTAATGGTTTGGAAGACTCAAGATAGCAAAGATGTCAACTCTCTTCAAATGGATGGGTAGACTTAATGACAGTCATATCAAAACCCCAGCTACATATTTTTTACGCATATAGATAAACCTATTTTAAGTTTATATGAAAAGGCACATGATATTGGTGGAGAGATGGACACATAAGTCAGCCGAACAGAATAAAGAACTCAGAAATTGACCCAAGCAAATATGCCCAACTCATTTTGACAATGGTACAAAAGCAATTGAAGGAGGAAGGATAGTCGTTTTAATAAATGTTACTGGAGAAAACAAACATTTATAAGCTCAAAATCTCAGTATAAACCTCACACTTTATACACTAATTAACTTGAAATGGTTTGCAAACTTATATATAAAAGATTTTACTATAAACCTTTTAGGAAAAGACAGTTCTAAAAAAATTACTGGGATCTAGGGCTAGATAAAAGTACTTTGTTCTTATTTATATGTACTTTTTAATAATTTTTTTTTATTTTCAGTAAAAGACCAATGTGTACCTGTACTTACTCTAAAAAAGAAAAATATTCAATATGCTTTTCCAGGTTAATAGACAAACGAAATAGATTAATCTTTCTCTATGAATCAGTGATCGAGCCATTATTGTTTTCCTGAGAAGAAAACTCTCTTTATGCTCATCATATTTTCGGAGCATTAGGAATGGAACTAGGGGGCCTTAGGTGAGATAGACATGCTGCCAGTGCAGGTGAGCAGGGAGGAAATTTCCAAACCCAAGAACTGGCAGAAACTGCTGGAGAGAGAATAGTTACTTGGGCTTCAAGTCTAGAGATTAATTGTGATGTGCCCTGCTCTGTAGAATAATAATAACAGTGTATTCCAGCAAACAATAGAACGGGTGATACGAATTGAATGATGTTACAACACACACATATGTATGTATGTGGATACAGACATGTGCACACATATGCACACATAGATATGTGTAACATGTGTGTATTTATAACTGAAGTTAAACCGTTAGGCAATAAGAATGCAGTCCTATTTTTCTACCCTCTCTTTTCTAACATCTTTCAAACAGATGATGTTTTGGAAGATTTTCAATTCTTTTCAATAATTTTAAAAAATGATCAAACAGGACAAATATGCATGCTGAATTATTTTAATACCCTATTTTACATGTGGTTGTAAATAAGCAACCCGTTGTATAGATTCAGCATTTTGGATGTTAAGGTAAACATATAGCTGCTCCTCATTTGCAGAAGAGTGGATTTACAGTATGTGTGTCTGTTGCAAGTTGTATATTTAAATTACTTAAAAATATCCTCTTTGGTAATAGTTTTTTAAAATGAATTTGTGGCACATTAGAAAGAATGTTTTTAAGCAAAATTGCTTTTTAGTTTGTATTCTCTAAACGTCAGTTTACTTTGAAGAATTAAAAAACTTACTAGAATATTCATATTTGACCTATAAAATAAGTAACTTAGATGGAATAATTTGAATCTGGAAATTTCTTTATACCACTAAATTAGAACTATCAATACCATTTTATTTTTACAGATTTTCCTTGACACATTATATTAGCTACTGGAAAGAGTTAAGACCCTTTATGAAAATATGATTTTAGTGATGCAACTTATGTATGAGGCAGATAAGGAAGCATGGATCCCTGTGCCCGTTAACTAAGACGTTATGAAATAATTTATAACAGAGGACAGTAGTGGGAGTGTGGTCAGGCGCGCCCCCTCCTCACTGGGCCCACCAGAAGCTTTCAGGGTCTGGGAGAAACATGTCCAGGCCTGCAGAGGCTGTCACAGGGGAAAGGGCCAGGGCGGGGAACCCAGCACAGGCAGCCTGGCCTCGCAGGGGGTCGAAGGGTTTCGGAGGAAGCTGTGTCCACCCCGAGATCCTTCCTGTTCCATGTGCTCCAGCACAAGGCCCGCAGGAGGACCCCGTGAGCAAGACCGACCCAGACAAGCGGGCGGATGCCCTTGGCAGTGAGGGGAGCCCGGCCTGAGGGGCTGAGGGCGGCCTCGGAGGCACAGCGTCAGAGAAACTCCCACCGCTCTGTCAGGAGCGCTTGCACCTTTATATCAGCACGGGGGTTGGGCCTGGGTGATCTGGGGAAGGGTCTGCCGGCGGGTCGGGGGGTCGCTGTGAGTCGGACGCCGTCTGACAGAGGAGGCTGTTCTGTTGTTCGGTTTCTCTCGGAATCTTCTCTAGAAGAGGGCAGAGGGCGGCCAGGAGAAAGCGCTGCTGGAATGAGGTAGATGCCGCTCGTTTTCACCAAGTGCAGTGCTTGGGATTTGAGGGGGTGGCAAAGTGACCTTGATCTATTTTCTCTGTGCAGGTCTCTGTTAGAGTCAGCGTGGGGGTCTCGGTGGGGTCTCCCGTGTAGGTTTTGGAAGGGCTCGTCCGTGTGGAGACTGTCAGGGGTTGTCTGTGGGGAGGTCCCTCTGGGGTGTCTCATGGGGGATCTCGTCAGATTCTCTGTTGGGGTTCTGGTGGGGTTCACTATGGGGGAATCTCTAGAATCTCTGATGAATGTGGGAATCTTTGAGTGTTGGGGTGTACAGGGGTCTCTGTGGGTGCTCCTCTGCTGCAGGTCCCAGGATCCGGGTCCCATAGATGTTGGGCCACACTGGAGCTGCCCAGGTCACCACCCCAGACAGGACTTGGCTCCAGCAGTAGCCTGGGCCCCAGAGTGACACCAGGGCCTTTTCCAAAACAGGTCTCCCGCATGGGTCCCGCCACGCCCTGGGTAGGCGCTGTCCCCTTGTCTAGCCTCCCAGCAACCCCTGCACGTGCGCGGACCTCTCCCTTGGGCAGAGCCCTCTGGGGAACCAGCTCCTGCCTTTGCTCCTGCCTTCCCTGGGGATGGCCAGGAGGGACCCAGCACCAGGATGGAGGAGCCCAGGACCGTGCCCTGTGGGGACTCTCCCTGTGAACCATGTGACCAGATCCTCTGAGGCCCAGTGTGTCCCCTGCCAGCACCTGGGCTTGGAGCCATAGATGTGCTGTGTCACCCAGGCCAGCCCTTGCCTTCTGGGTCCCTCTGCCCTGGGAGTGGCACTGACCACTTTTACTTGTAATGATCACTGGACTGTGAGGACCCTGGTTACAGCTGTGGGCAGCTTGTGGATCCTGCACTTGCGAACTTATGTTCGTCTTCCCGGATTCTTCTCCCACCCCCCACCCTGGGCCTAGGTCCCCTCCTGTGGTTCCTGACCACAGAGTCCCGCCAGGGGGCCAGGCAGCAGCCCTGGGTACCTCCTGAAACAGACACCCCACACTAGTGGCCGGGAGACTGCTCTGGAGAGTGAGGCAGGGGACACCAGACGCAAACCCAGCGGTGTTATCAAGGCTGAGCCAAGTGCTGGCGGGGCCCTGGTCCGTCCCGGAACTCAGCAGGCAGGGAAGGGTCTGGGGAGGGTGTCACCTCTTCCCCACCAGGACATCTGGGAAGGAGCTGTCCCACCTCTGACCCAGGGCCAGTACAGGACACCCCCACATTCCCAGGCTACCACGGGGCAGGGAGGCTACTGGGATCCATCACTCCTCCAGCCTCAGGGGAGCCTACCAGCCCCTCAGGCCATGAGGCCCCTGCAGACCCAGCCCCTGCAGCAGTACAGAAGTTACCTTAGTGAGAACGGGGATGCAGTGAGCCAGACCCGGTGGGGTCGCCATAGGGTTTGCTGTCCTTACACGTCCTGAAGACTCTGGGTCATGATCCAGCTTGGAAACCAGACACGGTTTCTCCCTGGACAGGGAGAAGAGGGGGTTCTCCATGTCCCTGCCAGCCTCCTCCAGGTACAGCCATTCTGGAAGCCGCACTCAGAAGGAGCGGACGCTGAGCCCTTTCCTGTGCCCTAGCATGGCACAGACAGAAGCCACCACCTCTGCAGGGAAACCAAGTGTATTGGGAACTTCTCTGTGAAAGTCGGGAACACATGGCAGCTGTGATCACCCAGGCAGGACAGGCTTAATGTGTAGGTGTCAGTTTTATTTGAGTAGAACCCCGTCGCCCCCAGGAGACGTGCAAGAAGCCTTCTCTGGTTCAGGAGGCAAGACCCCTGTGTAGACCTCAGTT